TGTCAATCTTATGCTAGGTGATGAGATTTGTTGTGCCCTTGTTTTGCATCCATCAAGCTCATCCTTACCCTCCGTTTGGTCCCCATTAAATTTCATTTCATTTTTCTCTCTTTTATTTTCAATCACACAATTTTCCATAAAATAATATTATGCGTAAATCGAAATTGTTTTCTTCTTTTCCATTCACTCATTTAATTAAAAAAAAAAAAAAACCCTATTTCACCCATTTTTTTTTCAAAAAATGGGGGCCAAACGGGGGCTTACATTCATTAATTGCTCCTTAACAATTCCCGTTTTAGTAGTTGGAGCCAGATTGAATTTACATGCAGGGAGCAGAATTGGTTTTATATATTTGGAAGTTCTTAATGTTGAAAGGGTTTCCTTCTTTGTTTTAGTTTCTTTAGTGGAATGAAGTCCAATTGGATACATGTTACTATGTTGATGTGTACACATCAACATGCTCTTCATCTGGTGGTTATATTAATTAATACTCTTCATCATTTATCTTTCTACCGGCTCTGTTTTGAGATGGAGAACAGTTCAAATTGTAGAATGTTTGATAATTCTAAGTCTTTGTTTTCAATTAAAAAGGTCCAAGAGAAGAAAGTCAAGAAAATCTCTGAGATGAATGTGGATCCTTCCAAAGCTGCAGGAAATGGTGGTGTTGCAAATGCGAGTGTTTCTGCTGGTCCTAATAACAATCTTGCTAATGGAAGCTATCTAGATCAATCTTACAATTGCTTGAGCAAAGACGCATCCTTTCCCCCCCGCGTCATTTCGTCACTGCGATTACCAGTGGTAGTTGTACTTGACTATGCTCTACTCTTCTCTTCCAGTATTGATGCTATCTGTAAGATGCATCATTTTTTTTAATTGTGTTTCACATATCTGAAGATTTATTGCATAGTTCTTATTGGTTTTTTCTCCACTCTAAAATGCATTACACATAACAACTGATCGTGGTTGAATAATTTAGTTTTATGTTTAGAAAGTAAAAAATGCTTTAACTTGATGTCATTGGAATCCTTCTTTCAATGACTTGGAGGCATGAAATTATTTTCACCGCTATTTGTTTGTCTCTGTATATAAAGGGTTTACAGCCCTGGGACTTGGTCAACTACAACTGTCCCCTTGCTAGTCTGAAAGTTTGTGTAGGCATTCACTTGGAATACCAAGCATAGACATGTGCTAGGTATCACTATTATATGCTAAGTAACTTCCATTGTCTCATTATGGTTTGACGTAACGTGTGATTGTGCAATCTGTAGGTCACAAGCAATGAAATCAGTCTTGTCGCAAAATGTAGGAGAGTGTATGCTCATGCGCATGATTACCATATCAATTCAATTTCAAATAATAGGTAAGGTCCCAAAGTTTTAAATTGTTAATGAATAAGGACTACATTTTGACTTTTTTCTGTCACATTGTCTTATCATATGAGTTATGATTTTGCCTGGATTTTGGCGGTTCAGTTAATTTATTTTCCTCTTGCTATTTTCATTCTCAAGCTAGAGGATGGAAAACAAGTCTAATATAAGTTGTTGCAATTTTTTTTGTAATTGAAAACATATCTTTTGGGAATGTCGGGTGTGTTAGTTCATTAGTTTATGGTTGGCTAACAATGGGACTGTGACGTGTTAGGCCTCAGCTGAGGAAATACGTATTAGCAAAGAAGTGTTTTCTTGGTACCCAGCTAATTTTCTTCACTTGATGTTTGCGCAATAGATAGCTGTGATGGCATTGATCAGTTGTCATTTACTTGCGTCCTTTCTCTCTCTCTGCTTATCTGCCACCCTACTTCCCTGCTAGGTGCTTCCTCTGTGTTTTTCCCCCTGTAGTAAAGCAGCATTTTGAGAAAAATGGAAGAATACATACTGGACGATATGGAATAGCGCCTTATGCTGTCTCCTACTGTTCCCCTATTGAAAAAAGTAAATACGATCTTCTCTTTGGAGATTTCATGGTGGAATTTGATCAATTAGAGGATATATAAACATATATGTATGGTTATACGTAAAGTTCACAAAACCTCCCTTTTTCATATCCGACGTTGACAATTAGTACCCAGATACATTTTTCACTTGATCTTGTTTTATCTTTCTATTATTTCTTGATTGATGAATGCAAACAGTATCTCTCAAGCGTTTGATTCTGCCAAGAGCTAACGGTTATAAAATTAGTCTTAGCGCCTTTTTATTTTTCTCCTGGACTACACTTAGCCCTTGTTTGAACCCCATTTTTTTTGATAAGAATGAATTTTTGAAAAGTGTATTGATGGAAAATGTGTGGTTAAAAAATAAGAAATTTTTTTGGATTTGTGTAATGTTATTTTATTGAAGAATGTGTGGTTAAAATGATGTTAAAACACTATTTAAGAATGTATTTTTTTAAAGAATGAGAATCAAACAGGGGGTTAATAAAGCCTTGAACTCTTAAAGTGCACAAATTTGTAATCCTAACTCTGTATCGCAGATGGTTATAATGTCTTCACCTGCAAGAAGTGCTATATACTGATGTCGCATTATTCGAAAACTTTTGATTATGGCTTTGTGGAAGCCATTTATTCTTTAATTCTGGTAATCTGATCTGTTTGATTTTAGTGATTAAAATGTATTTATTATGCTTTTCAGTGATGGTGAAACATTTATATCAGCTGATGATTTGCGAATAAATCTTTGGAACTTGGAAATAAGTAATCAAAGTTTCAATATCGTTGATGTTAAGCCAACAAATATGGAGGATCTAACTGGTGAGTCCTTTCTGGTTCGAACTTCCAGAGTACCTTTTCAATTTATTACAAGCCAATTTCTTATCTCCTTTAAATGCTTGATTCTGATAATTCTTTTTATGCAACAATCACTCCATGAAGGGACCAGTAAATTTAATTCTTTACTTAATACTTCATGCTGTCATTGCTCTTGCTATTATTCTTTATGTAATTATACTCTCCCATCTAAGTAACCAAATCAATTCTCATAAAATGAAATTTATTCATTTTGTTGTACTATCTGTAGTGATGAAAGTATTCTAGGAGATCATCATGCCGCAACTTACTGGGTTAAATCATTTTATACTCATTTAACTTTTCCACTTGATCGGCAACCTTTTGCTTGTTGCAGAGGTCATAACGTCAGCAGAGTTTCATCCTACACACTGTAACACATTAGCATACAGCAGTTCAAAAGGATCAATTCGTCTAATCGATTTGCGGCAATCTGCCTTGTGTGATTCCCATTCAAAAATGTAAGTGTCTATGTGATGTATCTTTCTTAACCGCTTTTGATTTCAGTTATACATTGTCTGCATAACATTTGATCTTATTTAATTGTTCAGAATAGGAGTCAAAAGTTAGTGATATTGGGAATTCTAAGTCGTTTTTGCTTTTTCAGAAAAAATTAAGCCCCCGTTTGGTAACAAATTTTCATCCCAAAAAATCAATTTTTTCACCGTCATTTTACTATTTCAGTCGTCATTTTCGACGTCTTCACTCTGAGGTGGGACCTACTTTTGTATCTAACGGTCAACAAATCAATTTTCATAATCACTACCGAACATGCCCCAACTATGTTAGTTCCTATTGATCTTTTTTACATGAGAAAATTGATTTTTCATTCATGTACAGATTTGAGGAACAGGAGGCGCCTGGTTCAAGATCATTTTTCACTGAGATAATAGCTTCAATTTCAGATATCAAGTTTGCAAAGGATGGAAGACACATACTTAGTCGTGATTACATGACCCTTAAGGTGTTCCATCTTCTATAGTTTATTTGATCTTTCTCAATAATCATGTCTTGTCATTTGGACATGCTTGGTTTTGCTTCCTGCTGGGTTTATGCAAATAATAACAGTGGCGGAAACTAGTTGGCTGCAGTTAGGCATTCATTTAGCCCGTTTGGTTTGGTTAAAAATCAGTTTTTTAGTAGATTTTGATAAAAGTTATGAAATTTGTGTTTGAAAATTGGATAAAAGTTGTTGGTCCTATAAAATGTGTAGTTGAAAATAAGTTTTAAAAATTGAGGCCAAACAGGGGCTAAGTTTCATTTAGAATTCCCTATGTATGGGGATCTCAAGCATGGCTATAAAGATGTAAAAGAATCTAGCAGAATTACTTATTATGGAATTTTCCACTTACTGGCCATAGTCCATAGCTTCTTGTGGCAGAAGATGATTAGAAGTAACTTCAGTTTCTTTGGAGCATGCCCCTATTCTTTTATTTCATTTTTCTGTATTGTTTCAATTTTGGTTTGTCACTTGATTTCAGTTATGGGATGTTAATATGGATTCTGGTCCAGTGGCAACCTTCCAGGTTCATGAGTATCTGAGACCCAAGGTGAATAGCTTTGTTTCTCAGAAATCATTCCGCATTTTTGCTGCATATATTGTTTAGGTGAGCTGATGTGTTGGTAATTTGATAATGTCCAGCTCTGTGATTTGTACGAAAATGATTCCATTTTTGACAAATTCGAATGTTGCCTGAGTGGCAATGGTCAGCGAGTAGCAACTGGTTCTTACAGGTATGCTTGAGTCTCTTTTGTCTGCTCATTTATATAGATTCTCATTTTTGTGCATATCAATGAAAGGCTTAACATGATTTTAGCAATTTATTTCGCGTATTTGGATGTGCTGAGGGGAGTACTGAAGCAACTACTCTGGAAGCAAGCAAAAACCCAACGAGGTATCCTTTATAAGATTAATTTTGGCATTTTTGTTATATATATATATATATTTTTACAGGTATGCTTGAGTCTCTTTTGTCTGCTCATTTATATAGATTCTCATTTTTGTGCATATCAATGAAAGGCTTAACATGATTTCAGCAATTTATTTCGCGTATTTGGATGTGCTGAGGGGAGTACTGAAGCAACTACTCTGGAAGCAAGCAAAAACCCAACGAGGTATCCTTTATAAGATTAATTTTGGCATTTTTGTTATATATATATATATATACATATACATATATATATATTTTTTTACAACGTAATCCCTTCGTTGCTCTTACAGAAGACAAGTCCAGACCCCTTCAAGGACTTCGAGAGGCTTAAGCAGCACTATAACTAACGCTGTCAGACGAGGTATTCTTCTTGTCCCTCCTTCCCCATCTCTTTACCTACCACCACTTGCGCCTTCATTTGTTTAGTCCAACATTGGAAAGCAATTCTAGTTTTTGGTTGTGTTTTTTCTCCTTTCCTCCACTCAATGAATGTTGGATTCTCTACAGCAGGTGCAGACAGTCCGGGAGTTGATGCAAATGGAAATTCGTTTGATTTCACTACAAAACTGCTCCATCTGGCATGGCACCCAACTGAAAACTCTATTGCCTGTGCTGCTGCAAATAGCTTGTATATGTACTATGCATAAAAAGCCAGTACTCAAGTCGGTCAAAGTTTTTGGGTCGATATATAAGAATGCATCTTTTGCAAACAAATTGAGGCTCCACATTTTCTTGCTTATCCAAATGCCTCATAAATCTGTAGCACATACTTTCGAGTGCTTTTACCCGGGTAGAAGGTTGGTTTTCTTAGATCGGTTAACTTTTCTAGTTCGCCCTCTATTTGTTTTATTTTTTCTCCGTCTCTCCTAGAAAAGAAAGATGTGTTTCGTTCTTAGTGTTGGGTCGAAGCTTGGAAAGAATGTGATTGCACTTCTCCAAACAAAAGTTAAAAGGATGCCGTGTACTGTTCTGAGGCTCTGAAGGTAAATGTAGCTAAATTAAAATCTTCCTGCTGCTGCTGCTGCGAATTTGTGGGGGCATCAAGTTCATAAACTCTTCCTAGGTAGACCAGTGTTATTGGTCTCTCTTTGTAGGATGATTTTGGTCTAAGATTGATAGATTTCTATATTTTGCATGTATTATATATCAAGATGTTTTGGGCTGTGGCCCGATATTAGGAAAGATTTGTGCAAAATATCATTTGTATCCTTACCATCCATTGTTTTCAAGGATAAATTTTATCAGGGTAGCAAACCTTTCAAGAAGGGTCAGATCCACCTTCCAATTTGTGATCGAAGTCCCAACTTTCAAATTAACATGCAATACGAGCTCCGTCAATCGGCTTTGTTAAAAAAAATTCATCAGTTGACCAAAAAGTCGACCGTGGACCAAATTTTGACAATTGAAAGAAAGGCAAGAAGGTCTTTTCATGTTACCTCGTTTAAAATAATTAAGAAAGGGAAAAAGAGCTAAAACGTTTGTCATTTTTCTTTTGTTTTTTTATTCTTTTTTTCCTTTTTCTCTTTAATCATTTTGAAAGGTTTGAAACTCAGGTAATTTACCCAATCAATTCAGACCAATGATTTGAAACGATTTAAAAATTCGTTTTTAAAATGATTGGTGTAGATGTTATTTTGTCAACTAACTTTGTAAACCAACTTTGTACATATAGATGTGTTCCATGCGGGGCTTAGACGCGACAAGGATGTGACTGCACCATTTGTCACTCTTCGCTCGCTGAAACCACTTTGACACTAAACTAACATGGATAACCATGGCCCTGGACAAATAGCAGGGTTCAACTCGCATACCAGTTGGGCCCAACTCCCTCTATGACCCCCACATTTTGGTATCATTATGCGTGCCAATTTTCTTGTTAATCCAGGACATAAAACAATATAAGTGTGCCTATGCGTATACTTCTTAAGATAAGATATTCAACTTTTACTTTTTCTTAAGCATTTAGGTCCTGTTTGATTATCATTATTTGATAAAAACAAAGTTGTGAATGTATGGTTAAAAAGTCGAGAAGAGTTTTGGATTTATGTGTAAAATATTTTATAGTGTGGATGTGTAGTTGAAAATGAGTATATAAAAAAAAAAAAAAAAAGAAGAGTTTTTGACTAATTGTTGTCTGATAATTATATTTTTTTACACTTATTTGAACCTAAAAATATAAATATTTAATTGTTTTTTGAACAATTATAGCCTAATTTGTTGTATATATCGTTATTAGGTGAAAGTCGATGAATGGAAGTAAAATTGAATAAAAAAGTGAAAATTGGTGAAAAAGAGCAAGATCTAAAATTTGGGGACTAAATAGTAAATACACATGTTGACATATTCTTGCTATACACCTGTAATTCTCTTTTTATATAAACTAGCATGGTCTGATAGAGTTTGAGTTCGAGTTCTAATACCACTCCCGTGGATTTGTACGAGCCATCTTCTACTCTCATGATTCGATTAGTGAACTTATTTCACAGTTATTTAATGAATCAACACGTTGATATGCGTGTTAATCCAGATAATCATATTCAATAACTTATATTCATTGCTAGCTAGTCAAGTATTTATTCAATTACCGTCACATAAATTGGTGATAGACTCTAATAGATATGAATAGCATTACTCTCAAAATAGTGATGGTGGACACAAGTGTAAAAGCGGATTAAATCATATGGCAGCTTATGAGTGACAACCTTCTCAACATTGCAATGAGCATCGTCTTGATCGTTAAAGCACACTCTTAGATGGAATTGTATCCGTTTATTTCTGAAATTACATTGAATACAATACTCAACACAAGTATGCTTTGTAACACCTATATAAGAACTCTTCATCATCCTATGAAGCTGAAGCTTTCATGACTTCAACTCGAGTTTCGTCGCTATCTTTAGGGACAGCCTAAGATACTGAACTAGTCAGTCTTCTGAACCTCTGTTGAACTTTTTGCATCACTTTGGTTGTTCTGTGTCGAGATATGTGAAACCCAATGGCATCCAAGAACCAACCACACTTTCCCTTGAATCCTACAATTTGGCCACCCTCCATTGGAAAGGAGAATGGTGTTCCTTCTTCTACTCCAAATGGCCCAAACGATCTCTGGTTGCTTTTAAATGTGAGTGATCGGATCACAGGAGTGCCACCACGAACCACGGGCGAGTAGTGCCCACTCACCGTTGTCAAGAACTCTTCGGGAAATTGCAGCTTGATCTAGAATCAGTGAAGTAATTAAGTACTTGTTTCGATAAACTTTTAAGTTTCAACTTGTCAAACTTTAATTTTAACCTCATATTTCGTAAGATCCACACCTTTTCAATTAAACGTTAAGTCAATTTTATCATAATATACTAAAACGTTATCAAAAGTTTTATCAAACAACCGTAAGATTTATTAAATTTCAAGAAAATTGCATTACAAGTTCCCAGCTTATTTGATCAACCTTTAAAAATGAACAAGCGATCATCATCAACCTTTAATTATAGTTAAATATGTCGAAATCTCAATTAAATCACACCTCTTTAGGCACCACGAAATTTGGAAAACAAAACCTAGCTTCATAAAATTCGACGTAGGAGGATCTCTGATGATTTAATGGAGGTTTGGAATTTCACATCGTTGAGAGTGGGGACCAACTTGCTTCTTTTTAAAAGTTTGGAATCAGTTTACCCTAATCTTAGGAGCATATAAGGAAGGACTTAAAAAAACACGATTTAAATTATTTAAGACGGAAATAAGAATTGAGAACCTATCTCAACATATTGGATTATATTCTGTGACTGAGTGAATTATCATGACTCTAACAGCATTTATAGCTAAGCTTAAAAATAATCAATAATTACTTTTTAGAAACTTTCGGTTTCTAAAATATATCTGGATAACTTTTAAGTAAAAAATTACTTATTTTAAAAGTAAAACGCGTATTAACTTAGTAAACCTTTAAGTTAGCCAAACATGTTCTAACAAAAAATTGGTATGGTCCAATTTTTTGATAATTGCATTTAAATGGATATTTTTTCTTTTTGTTGTCTCAATTATTTGGAATACTTTATGAATTTTTTTGGATCTTTACCTCTATGTCGCACATAAATAAACTAAGAGAAATGAAACAAAAGGTTACCTCGGCAGTGCTACTACCCCCGGAACCTCCATGCTTCTCTCCTGAAACAGGCTTTCCATTCTTATCATAAACCACACATATTGAGTCGATACAGCGACCATATTTGAGAGAGATTTCTCTCACTCCACTGTAATTTCCATCATCCCAATTAGTCCCTCCATTGCCTCCCCATGGCCCGACAACTATTGCTTTCTTTTTCTCACCGGCCTGGTCCTTCTCCCCATCCTTAAAGATTTTAGCAGATATTCGTGTTGTCAGGAAAATGGAAGCTTGACAATCCACAATTCAGTACTAAATAGAGCGAACAAAAGAAAGGCATAGAGAGTAACTTGAACATCCTTTAAAATATTTTATTTATAAATTTTGAATAGAGTTCAAAACTGCATACCATGCTAATCCAAGAATGAACAAAGAGAGACTGATCCCAGATATCCAATGCCTTGTAGCAATTAATTTCCAATGTGAGGGAGGGACTCTATATAGAACAAAAAAGTGATCACCTTTGTTGTGGTATCCGATTCCATTCGTAGCCAGAAAAGTTCCGTTTTTATGATTTTAGAAATCGAAATTAACGGGCCAAAATTATACCAAGTGCCCTTGACTATAACACTGCATCTTGTGCTCAAATGATCAGGTAAGCATCGGATTCCCCACATGATCAGGGAATAAGCATCTGATTCCCCCACAGAGTCCAATCCAGTCACACTGAATCATATACTTCAGGAGTAGTTTATGAGATAAAGATTTAGTTGCTTTACATCTCCGATTAGATCTAGCAATGAACATAGTGTTGGGTTTTGATACCCAATAATCCGGACGATGATGTTAAACCGATGTTAGATAAATTAAATATCGATACCCAAAATTGATGACCCGACCCTAAGACTATTTGGGCCATTGGAAGCAATCTAATTAATTAGTGTTGCTCATTGCTCGATTTCTACACTCATTGGATGACTTATATATGTTGGCCCACTTAGGGTATTTGTATTGGGCTTAGCCCCATCACTTTAACTTAACCTAATCTATATAAGTTGGCCTCTTTGTCTTTGGTCACTCACATGTGTTTTGCCTTGTTTAAGAGAAAATCAAGCTTGCTCTTTGCTTTGTGCTATCGATTTCTTCTTGTTCTTCTCTAGCCTTTGTGGCTGCAAACACCGTCCCCTTTGTGTCTTAAGTGAGTACAAATCTTGAGCAACCGGAGTGTGGGAAGAATTTAAAGGTTTTGGGTCGTGATTACTTAGGTGTATTGATAAGGTTGAGATTGGTATCCTGAACCTGAAATTCCATCAATTGGAGGTCGATTATTCAACATTTGGTATCAGAGCGAGGTTGGGGTGGAATTTTTGATCAAAATCTGACCAGAATCGAAGCAGAAACCAACTGGATTAAACTATCTAGAAATTTTCACAAAAAAATCGAACTTGCAACCTCAATTTTTCGGCTAATCCAGACGTCTTTTGGTAAAACGGAGGTCGGATTCGTGATCTGCAGGTGGAGGAGGTGCTGGATGGTCGGTGTGTGTGGGTGACGGCGATCGGCGATCGGCGGCGCATGGGGATTCCGACAATAGCGCGTGGGGCTGCGTGCGTGATCCTCCGGTGAATACTTCTTTAGATATAAATTTTCTAACGTGTTTTCTAACGATTTTGTGTTGTTAGTTTTCAGTTTCAGGATATACAGAAAAAGTTAGACGATTTTACTCCTGGACACTTGGCTATTGGTTGTTGGACATTCGTATTGGCACATCTGCTGAACTTTAGAGCGAATAGTGGTGGCCCTAAAGCAGCAGACTCGCATCTCTCGTAATTTATGGACTCAGATAGATCCGCTCTGGTAAATTGACTGAAACCCTTACATTATTGCACGAGCAGATCATCGCGTGGGGTGATCATTAGGATTGGGGGTTGTCATTGTTTGGCAACCATTACTTGTGCTAGAAAATTTAGGAATTATCTGTCCTATCTGAAGTGTTGAAGTTGATTGTAAGTTGGTAATTAATTTTGTGCTGTAATCGTCATATAGTTACTGTGTGAGATCGTATTGTGTAAGAATTTGAATTTTTTGTTAACATGTGTTGCATTGATTATTCTGTTAGGACACCTAGACTTGACCAGTTCATAAATTTCCTAGATCTAAGATCGTGAATCTTACTAAAACTTGGAAATCTAGAACGGGGTATATTGCGGCCGTAGGATTACTTTGTGTGACCTATCTGTGCATTTAGTTATTCTGTTTTCCAAAAATGTCTTCACATTTTGAAATTGGTGTTTTCAATAGGAAATTGAATTTTTCAATTTGACAACAAAAGATAAAGGGAATTTTAGTTCAATAAAAAGTTTCAAAGGCCATATATGACAAATATCCTGTAAATTTGACAGAAACACAAAAAGAAGAATACAATGAACTTACTTATGTTTTAAGAAAAGTTGAGAAACTAGATTCTACAAAAGAAATTTGGAAAAAGTTGGAGGACTTATATTAATTTAAGTCCACTACTAATAAATTGTACTTACTTAAAAGATTTTCAGCTTTAAAATGAATCGTTCAAAGGATTTTGACGATAATCTAGATACTTTTAACAAACTTGTTTAGGACATTGTTTACCGTGATTAAAAGGTGTCCGAAACATATAAAGCAGTTATTTTATTTAATTCCATGTCTGATTCATATAGAGAAGTTAAAAATGCAATTAAATATGTTAGGGACACCCTAACACCTGAGATTATCATAAACTCATTTAAGAGTAAGGAAATGAAAATTAAGGCTGAAAATGAAGATAAGAGGAAAAATTCATTTGAGTATAAGGTTAGTTTGTTTTATATTCTTGCACAAAACGTTGTTTAAAATGTGCAAACAATTGACTATTAAAAAAGTCTCAGCTGAAATATGAGCTCAACATATTGTTTAACATGATGGAGTCAATGATCAGGCAAATCAGAAATTCTATCAACAGAATCGCTTATTAAATTTATTACATTATTTTCTCTCATCTTCTGCTTCTTAATTGATTTATCCTTATATGACTCAACATTTCCGTTTTTCCATTTTAGCATCCTTGGGGAGCCTTCAACCGTGCGACCAATCACTAATGACTTTTCCATAAAATTTTGCAGTTCATATTTCTTGCTACCAATTTTTTATTTCCCAATCCTTTGACAAGATTTTTCGATCAAATTCTCTTCCACAACATCATTCATTCAAAACTGTTTACCAGCAACATATATAAGAACATAGAATAAGGTAACTTTCTTGATATTACAATAATTTCTAATCGGTAGTAAATTTTTTTCCCAATCTTTATGCAATATCAATCAAGATTCTAAAAACTAAAAATTAAACGATTATTGGGAAATTATCGGGCATAAATATATTCCAATAACGAACATTTTACGTGCATAAAACATTACAGAATTTTGACGTTACCGAAATCAAATATGTAAAGTACAACGAGAAATGCATGAATTTGAATTAAATCGAGATAAAAGTTTGACTATTTCTCTTTAAGACGATAATGCCCCACATGGGTGCTAACGATTTTTTGACATTTATCTCCCAAGATTCAACAACCATGTTGTACAATTGGAGCACTTCAATGGCAGAGTCAGAAAATCATGTTAGAATGGGCTGAAATTTAAAAAATTTCGAAAGAACTCGTACTATAAGAAACTAAACTCATGACATTCACAACAAAGAGTGTACGGCACTTAATGAAATAAAAGAAGTCTAGATGTCTCATTCTAAGATGTCCCACTTGATCTTTTTATCTTTTCTTACTAAATAGAAAATCGAGGATCACCTTAAAAAAATATAAATTGATTGAATCATGATCAAAATAAGCAAAGAACACATATCCACCAACGAAAAACTAAGAAATTATTTAATGATTACATTTTGAATAACTTTGACGATCAATTTTTCCAAACAACTAAAACTTTGGTATAAATACATAGTCAATGATACATCAATATATGTTATTGTCTCAAAATACTATTTAATTTGGTGGGGATAAGAATCTTTTATTTCATTTCATACTATATGAAGAGTCACATCCAAAGTGAGAAAAATTAAGAGGGTCCAAGAAAATTAGATTTAATTCATATGTATGTTTGACTTAGCTTCAAGAATATATATATTAACAAATATTCTTTTTACTGATCACAACATCTATTTCATGGTCAAAATAATAATTTTTTTTTCTAAGTATGAATAAGAAATATATGAAACATACGTAGAAATAAAAAATTAATTACTTTTAAAATTAGCAAAACATGTAGCCCCGTTTAATGGGGATTAAAATCAAATTTTTGATAGATTTTGATAAAAATTGATAAAAGGCGTGGTTGAAAAGTAATAGGTTCCACAAAATATTTAGTTAAAATTAATTTTTGACTTTAACTTAAATTAAAACTCATATTCTAATCCCTACCAGACAGGGGCATAGTGTCTCTACCACTACAAAATGCCGTAAAAACACCTTTATGGCGTGCGGCGTGCATAAAGCAATGCGGTAAAAAGTGTCCACTTTTTACGGCGTGCAATGTACGCTGTTTACGAATGCCATTATTAGTTATATGATTTTTTATAGCGTCTGCACGCTGTAAATGCTAGTTTTGCACACGCCGTAAATGCGAGTTTTTACTTTTAACGGTTGCACGCCGTGAAAGGTGACCCTGTTAGCATTTATGGCGTTCTTTTCCACGCCGTAAATGTTAATTTAATTTTTTAAAATCTGTTTATTTATTTGATTACTAGCACCTATAATAGTTACACAAATCCAATTCCAACTCAACTAAGATGAAAATTAAAATATTTTTGAGTACAAGCTAGAATGATAAACAATATTAAACTAATTAATTATTATAAGTTTAGATAAAAAAATTAACTCAAACATTTATCATTTACTAGTGAGACGCATGTGCAAGACACATGCTATAGTGTAGTTACTATGTAATAGCGTAGAATGTTCAAGGCACAAAAATGATATATTCAAAACCATAAATTATGTTCCAATTAAAAATGAACTTCCTCAAGTAAAGTATTTGAAGAAAGAAAAATTGATAACTTATATTCATTGCCAGAATTCTAATTTCCATTCGAAAATAATTTATTTGTTTTGACTCTAGTAACGATCATACAACACAACAAAAAATGAATGAACTTTTGTACATTGTACTTTTTGCATTGTTGACATAGTTAACATAAATAATAGAAGCAAAAAATAATCTCAATAACTTGATCACGATTGCATCAAAATCTTGAACCAGTATAGCAATAGCATTGAAAGTCATCCCATATACATAAAATTAAAAGTTCTGCACATCTCTTAATTATAGACTAAGACAAATTACAAAATAATATTCTAAAGAACACACTCAAATACTTTCATACTTAAAAAAGCAGTTACACATAACAACTATGCCTTGTAGATAATATTTCATGACTATGCCTTTGATCAATACAAATTATCTATTATAAAATTTACTTAATTATTATAAGTAAATTTAGTCAAACGTGTATTAAATAAAATACCTA